TAACAGTTGTATGAGCCCCTAATAAAATGTTTAAAAAAAAAAAAAAAGAACTGTACGGACTTGGACGGAGGGCTGTCCAGCATCACATTTTGATATTTTCATTTAATAAAGGTTTCTATGATTTTGTAGCAATACCTTTTGACTTACTTTAGTATACTATCTAACAAGAACAACTACAAAAGCTGTAGGGTAGTGATTTTTACTTAACCAGTATGCATAATAGTTGGACATTGACCAAAATCCAGAAGAAATACATACACCTTCAGAGAGGGGTCTAGTAATACCTAGGCGACTTGTTTTTACCTGCTTTTTCTAGAAAAATTTATTGTGAAAACACTTAACAAACATATGAATAAAAACGTAAGCCATCTCAACAATTTCTACATTGATGAGCTGGTGACATTGATTACATTCTTTAAAATATAATCCCATTCTCATGATCCTTTTCCAAATTGTTCCACAATTGTTAACACACACTCAATGGCTCCTAGGCAAAACTTTCCCTCTCCCTCCTCTCCGCTCAGAGGAAAGGCTAATCATATTTTCTTTCAACACATTTACTAATTTCATATAACCATTGTCTTTTACTGATCTATTTGACTCAGCGTGCCATTTTCAAGACTCATCCATGTTGTGCCATATATTTATATACGACTCATTTCTTTTTATGGCTTAGTAGTATTCCATTGAGCCCGGGCAGCACAGTGGGTGAAGCGCTCCGCTGCTAACCCCCAAGTAGGCAGTTCAAACACACTAGCTGCTTGCCGGAGAACCGTGACAATGTGTTTCCATAAAGACGCACACCCTCAGAAACCTAGGGGGCAGCTCTACTCTGTCCTGGAGGGTCACAAGGAGTTGGCATCGACTCGCATGGCAGGGTTTTAGGTTTCTATTAGATGTATATATACCACATTTTGTCTATGCATTCATCTGCCGGTTGAAATTGTGGCTGCTTCCACTCTTTGGCTGTTGTGAGAAGTGCTAGTGTGAACATGGTGTTCAGGCTTTTATTTGCCTTTCTGCATTCACTTCTGAGCACAAACCTAGGACTGAGCTTGTGGACTCATACGGTAGTTCTATGATGAACTTCTTAAGCACTGCCCAACTATTTTTCACTGCAACTATACCACCAGCAATGAATGAGGGTTCCAATTTCTCCACATCTCAACAACACCAGTTATTTTCCCCTGCGAATTCTAATAGATGTGATATGCTATTTTATGGAAGTTAGATTTGCATCATTCTAAAGGCTAATGACTAGTTGAGCTGACTTTTTAAACAAAACCTTTTTTTTTAAACATTTTATTA